TTGCAACAGGAATGGGTGCAGTTGCAGACGATAGGTACCCAGCAGGGGGCCACTCACTCGCCTGTCTTGTTCAGTTATCTTGTTGCTGACCAGTACCAGACCATGACTGCTGCATGGGAGGACCGAGGTGAGTGTGCTGCCTTCCTCGCTGGTTCCTTCATGCTATGGGGCCTGTGGTTTGTGGATGACAACACCTCTTTCTTTCGTGATGTTGTGCAATACAGGCGACTGATGCCGGAGTTCATCGTGTCTTTGCGTTCTTCTGGCTTGGAGCTGAAGGTGCAAAAGACGTGCACTCTTGGATTGGTGGCCCCATCTGCTGGTCCGACTTTGCCGGCTTTTGCTCATGTCGCTGAGGCCAAGTTCGTTGGTGTCACCTTGTGTTTTGAGGAGGGCTCTGGGCGCCAATTGCGTCACATTGTCAGTCGGGCCATGGGTGCCTTCACTACAAATCGGCCTTTGCTCGTCCATGCAGGGGTCCCTCGGTCTCAGCGCCTCTCTGTATTCCAGTCTTTGGTCACGGCTGCCATTCGTTGGGTGCTCTGCGTGCTGCCGCCTTCTGCCACCACTGCACGTCAGCTTCGTGTGCTACATGTGACGTTGATGTCCTGGACCTTGCGGGCGGCTGTGCACACCAGTAACCCGACACCTGAGGGCATGGCGCACTCCAGGCATGCAGTCAAGCGGTGGATCCAGGTTTATTCTGTCGTGTGGGATGTCCTGCATGTTCGTATGGTATGGAACTGGGCTGGGCACGTTTTCCGGCGAGGTGACGGGGATCTCACTTATCAGGCCATTTTCCACCTCAAGTCCCACTTCCGTTTCAGGGGCGCGCGTGGAGTCAGAACTGGTCCTCAAAATATTGGTCACAAGCAGTTGGTCGCTTTCTTACATAGGCAGGGTATCCACCCTTCTACGGCTGGTGATCGCCAGTTGTGGGCTGAGTATGCTGATTCGTGGGTGCGCTACTGTGGGTTTTGTGCCGAGCCCTGCGGTGAGGTCGCATGGCTGCATGACGCGGATATGCTTACCTGGGTATCGGTTGGGTAAACGTGCAGGGTACCTTGACTGGTCAAGAAATTTGGTGCCTGACTCTTGCTGCTGATGCTTGGTGCCTTAGCACATTGAGGCGGCGAGATGGCTGGGTGCATGTGTCCTTGAACAGTTGTGATCTATGGCGAGTGCTTCGGGTGCTGCTGGCCGATCTGATGCCGCGGACGTTTTACGTGCGTCTGTTAGTGGAAGATGACCCTGCAACAGTGAGTTCGTGTAAAGATGCATGTGCAACCAACTTCAAAGTGGTTCGTGAGGCTGAAGTGGTTGTTGAGGTTTCCTGTTTGAGTTGTGAGTGGGCCGCGAAGGTGAAGGCAGAGGTGTGTGCCTGGCATATGTCGGCACAGCCTGCTGCTTGAAGGGCGGCTTGCTCTTTTGTTTTCGTGAGGGGCCTTAAGGGCTTTAACCTCATGCGTTGCCTGGCGCTGCTAGACCCTCTGGATGCAACGGCAGAGAGAGAGAGAGAGAGAGAATCCCTAAACCCTGGGGAACCCTAAATCCGAGTCTCGGCCGGGTCACGGCCGAGTCTCGGCCAAGCGTAAATCCTAAACCCTAAACCAGAACCCTAAACCCTAAACCTTACACCCAAACCCAAACCCTAAACCACAACCCTAAACCCTACACCCAAACCCTAAACCCTAAAACACAACCCAACACCCTAAACCCTACACCCAAACCCAAAACCCTAAACCACAACCCAAAACCCTAGACCCTTAACCCTAATCCCTAAACCCTGGCGAACCCTAAATCCGAGTCTCGGCCGGGTCACGGCCGAGTCTCGGCCAAGCGTAAATCCTAAACCCTACACCCAAACCCTAAACCCTAAATCACAACCTAAACCCTAAACCGTAAAGCTTGAACTCTACAAACTTGAAACCCGTTCAAAACCCCTCAACCCTAAACCTTAGAACCACGCCCTAAACATGTGAATGTGTGACAACAGACATAAAAAAAGACATTTTAACACAAAAAAAGACATTATTGATCCCAGACTCCTCTCTCTCTCTCTCTCTCTCTCGCTCTTAGTCTCGCTGTCTATCTCTCTCTTTCTCTCTCGGTCTCGGTCTCTCTCTCTCTCTCTTTCTCTCTCTCTCTCTCTCTCTCTCTCTCTCTCTCTCTCTCTCTCGCTCTTAGTCTCGCTGTCTATCTCTCTCTCTCTCTCTCGGTCTTGGTCTCTCTCTCAGTCTCGGTCTCTCTCCCTCTGTCTTTATCTCTAACTCTATCTCTATCTCTCTCTCTCTCTCTCTCTCTCTCTCTCTCCTCTCTCTCGGTTTGTCTGTATGTGTGTGTGTGTGTGAGTGTGTGTCTGTTTGCACGGTTGCGGGTGTGTGTGTGTGTGTGTGTGTGCACCTGTTTGTTTGTTTGTTTGTTTGTGTGTGTGTGTGTGTGTCCGTGTGTTTGGATCATGTGGGTGGGCTAGTTATCACCACTACCGCTTGTTATTCGTGTGTGAAACATAGACATGACGAGTGACGAGTCCTGAGTGCCGAGATGTTCCAAGCGATAGGTGCATCAATGCGGCGGTTCCGATGAGCATCACAACAGTTTTTCTAACGAAGTTTGGGCAACAAGGAAAGAACAACGAAATCACAAAATCACAAAGATCCGTTCCCTAAATTCAGAGCGGCACTATTTCAATTGCGAGCAGACCATGCTTCTCAGGGTCCATCGACATGGCAGGTCCGGCGGTGGCGCGGGACTCATCGCCTCGCTACACTAGCACAAGCAAGCTTGCGGGAACTGCATCGCCAGCTTTCCAGGACATCATGGAGGCTTTGCGGCCCAATTCTTTGGAGGCAAAAGGGTATGTCACGTTCGGTTGATCATGGTCGTTCTCCTGGTGGCTGCTGCTAGGAGCTACGTGATTCAATTGCCAACGCAGGCAGTTGTCCGAGTCCATGGTTCGGCACATGCCACCGTTGTTTCGGGGTTCGCCTTTAAGTTGATCTGCGTGCTTAGTCATCCGCGGAGCTGTCCGTGTCTCGCCATCACTTGGCCGGGGCGCTCCGATACTACACTTGCGACTTGTGCCGAGAATTGTCAGTTCGCATACCACATATTTTCATTAGTTGTTCATTCATGCGTGTTTTTTGGACATTCCCGTGCGCCTTGCCCTTCTTGAGACCTGATGCCCATCAGTCGACATAGCGCCTGCAAACCTCCAGTTTACCCTTTACTCGCTCAGAGGCTGGCGTGCTTATATATCTTTGGACCTGGTCAGAAAGGTTTCACAGTTCGTGATGTGTAGACTCGGCTCTGAGCCGATGGTGATGCGCCTAAGGGGGCAACAGAAATCACCCGGCACATAGACAGGCAGCGTGCATGGCATTCCATTACAGCAGTTTCTGGCTTCAACCAAAAAACCCCCAAAACTCCTCCTAGCTTGACTGAAGTGTCTTGCAGTACAGTACATTGTTGCGACACGGTGCAGGTTTTGTGTGTGTGTGTGAGATGTTTGAGCCCCTGAGCCACCTGCTTTTGCGCGTTCGTCCTGAAACAAGATCCTTGCACTGTTTTGTCGTTACAACCTGCACGGCCAAGCTGGTTCGGGGCGAGTCAGTGGCGTGGAGGCACTAAAAGACCAAAGCAAACCGTGCCGAAAGTTTTAACTTCCGGCACGGAGATTGAAATGCTGCGCTAGCAGTTGTGCTGGATGCTTAAGAGCTTTTGTATCTGCATGCATCGCTGTCAGTCTTTGGAAAATCATCTACACTCGGTGTGTTCTTGCTGATTGATGCATGTTAAGCCCCGTTGTTGGTGAGTGGCCTCGCCTCGAGCTTGTCGTAGCCAAGTATTAGTTACCCCCCACATCAATGGTCGGAGTTCACCTTCGCAGTTGGCAGAACATCTGAATACTCGGCAGTACTGAACACCAGGCAAGCGAAAGCGTCTACCCGCCATCGTCCATCAGCTTGAAGAGTTCGTTCGGCAGCAGCAGATTTGTCAGGCCAGCCTAAGGAACAAATGAAACGGCAAGTCCGAATCGCATGTGCATATCAGGAGCGGTGTGTTTTACGACTTCGCGAAAGGGCATCGCATGAGGCAAGCGGCAAGGGCTTGTTCCCCCACGATCTTGCAAACTTGCAGCATGTGGTGCTGAGGCAGGTTTAGTTCCTTCGGGCAAGCTGCCAGGCAGGTCTTTGCCAGAACACTTGTGTCCACCACCATGTCCTGAACAAAGGATCTTCAAGACCAAGCACCTCAAGTGGTGACCCGCAGGAGCACTAGCCTCATGTAGGAATAGCGCGTCATGGTGCGTCCAGTTTAGATGCCTCGAGCTGTTTGTGGAAGGACGATGCTCGAACCTCTGTTGAATCTTCATGACTGGCGATGGATGAAGCTGAAGGCATAGCCGCAGTGGGTGCCATCCACGTTGTAAGTACCAGGTCAGCCGTGCAGTCCATCAGCGTTTTGCCGCCTTGGATGGGCAGTGTTCCGCCTTGTGCGGCAGAAGGCACTGACCATCCGTGGATCATCGCATTCCTGGTTGCACAGTGCTGTGAAGGTTGGCTCATTTGGTTGTGGGCTGGACACTCAATTAAACTGGCCGAATCCGCAACAATACCTCACACCGTCTCATACCTGACAGTATCGCAATAAGGTTCTGCGGCGTGAGTATTGCATGCTGCGTGCCTAGACTGGCATGAGATCGAAAAGGCATCAGATTTGGGCCTTTGCAACCGATTTGCCTTGCATCACTTCCACGAATTGTCGCCTTGGCAAAGCCAACAGTCCGTCGTCCGTCCCATTTCTCGGCCTATCCTCCTCGACTTGCTTGGCCGGATGCAGGGTGAAGGTAGCAGGTAACTTGATCAGCATGTTGGGCATGTCGTACCTGGATCTCATTCCGCACATGACACGGCCTGCAAAACGCGATATCACAGTTCTTCATAAATGGACTGCAGTTGGCAGAGTGGTGGATGGGTCGGATGTAGGTATGTTGCAGCATGGGCGGCAGTACGCAGCTGGTATATATCCTAGTCAGAGATGCTTTGGCAGTAAAGCATGGCAGCCGACAGCCTCAAAGTACTGGTCTGAAGCCCCTCCCAGGGCGAATTGCAGCACCACCTGCTTGGCCTCCACGACATCAGCCTTCATGTGGCTTGGATGGCTTGGGTGTTATGGCTGACTGTCGACCAAAGTTGCTGCTGGAGGCTCGGAAGCGTGCAAGTGTTCTAGAAGCTGCAAAGGCCCTCGGCTGTGTGGGCACGACCGTTTGGGTGGCAGTGGGGTTGGCAGCACTTGGGCTGGAAGGCACATCAAGAAGTTCCTGTGCCGAGCCGCAGGTCCAGGCCACTTGGCTTGCTTGATTGGGCCGGGTAGGACTTGCAGTCAGTCGCATCCCGTCGTCCTGATTCTTGCTGTCCCAGCTTCGATTTTTCAATTTAGAACGGCCAATGCCCAAAAAGACTATTCTCGAAGGCAGCTTGTGCCTCGGAGACTTTGGAAAACTCTGTAAACAGACATGCGGCTGGACATGTGACAGGTGCGGTCGCAGGCATCTATTGTCCAAGATGGTGCACCAGAGGTTTGTCCACGGATCCTCTCTCCCCGCCCACTCTCTTTGTCTCTCTCTCCCTGTCTCTGTCTCTCTCGCTCGCTCTGTCGCGCAGTCGTCATCAAGCTTGAGCTGGTGACTTACCGAACCCTCGTAAGGAGTTGCAGGTTGTCATAAGTCCCTGAGGCAGATGGTGTCCTGCTCCCCGGCGCCCCTGCCCTGGTCGATCTGGCCGTTGGTGACGGGGCGGAAGAAAGCTTTGTCGTTCCGACGTGGGCCCGCAGGAAAAATAACGCCTCCACAACCGAGTGGGATTACCCGAGGCAAGCCGGAACACTCCACCTCATGTGCGGAAATGAAAGTAGCAGCGCGTTTGGGAGGGAAGGCCGCAGGGTAGCCAGTACATGCACGTCTTTAGTCTGGGCTGGTTGGCGGCGCACTGATTGCATTGAACCGTCCCCCGGCCCTAACAGCTGGGTCTGGGTCTTGTTGTGCCTGAGCCTCTGAGATAACTTCCTCCTCTCGCGATGTGCTCGATCTGAATCGGTTCGTTGTGCATGCAATAGAGGGCACAACAGAAGCCAGTAGCTTTCAGACCAGGACTGATGCTTTGACGGCTGCAAAACATCCGGAAGGAACGTCTTTGCTGTCTGCAAGTTTCTGGCTTCGAAGCACCTGCTGCAGACGAACAGGGTGGTGTTTGCCCAGAGCGCATGGTAGCGGAGCGCCGGTTACCAGCGCTGCTGCGAGATCGCTCCGGGCGACCGCCCGGCTTGCTCCAGGAGCTCGATTGCCTCGATGGTTCGGATGGTACCGGAAGCCGCCTGTACACCAACTTGACTTACCCATGGACCCGGCACCGAAGTGTGACAGTAAATACCCTGAGCAACAGCACAGGCGGTGCACACAATGAGTTCGAAGCCGCAAGATCCTAGGCTTTGATTTGGGGTTCACTGCTTATGGCAGCTGGAAGATTGACGGCGATTGCATGTCTAGGATATTCTGGAAAGCCCACTCAAGCACCCCGGGCGCAAAAGAAGACCCCTAGAACATTTTGAAATACCTTGAACTTCAAGGGTGCAGCAGAAGAGCTCCTGGACACAGTCGCTGAGCGGGTGCTTTGGGAAGGGTCCAACTCTTCTGGAGCTTTCGTCGAAACTTGAAGGTTGATCGTGGTGTCGACTTTGGGATCTAGCTGGGATGGTCGCTATCGGTTGGTTGAGGCTTCGGGTATTTGGGGCCAGGATGCAACACTGAGCGGATTGATTATTGTGTGTGTGTGTGTGTGTTGTGCGCCTGTGTGTGCGTGTGTGTGTGTGAACCTCCCTAGCACATGGGAGCAGAGGGTCACTCCTTCTGTTTTTCACATGTGGACGTTTGCAGGGGGCCATTCAGCCTTGCTATCAGGGAATGGCCAACGAAGAGCCTGATAGCAAGGTGCTGTAACGTACCTGCAAGGGGACCGAAACCATATCCCCGATGTGCCAGGGACAGAACCCAATTCCTACTACTTGGCATTTTGAACGTTTTACGCCCTGCCCGGACATCGCACTTTGACCGTGGCAGTGGCAGCCATTCTCTATGTCTGGCTCAGGGGACAGAAACCTATCCCCACATTATAATGCCAGGGACAGGACCCTTATCCCTACTACGCGGCATTTGACGACGATAGAGGACAGGACCCTCATCCTCACGACGCGACTTGACGACGACAACATGCCTCTCTCGCCTCTCTCTCTTCCCCTTCCTGCACTCGTGCTCTCGGCCGAATCAGTCAGTGTGTGGGTGTGGGTGTGGGTGTGGGTGTGGGTGGGTTCGTGGGTGTGTGTGTGTGTGGACGAGATATTTGGCTCAGCAGCTGGACCTTCGGCATGTGCCATGGGGCTAGTCCGTGCTGTTTCGAGCGACAGAGAAGCTTCGAGTGGGCGCGATCGTTCGCGACAGCGACGTCGAAATGGCGAAGAGGGAGCTTATTGAAGCAGGGGGTGAGGACAGGCTTCCGATATGATTGTCAGTGAGATCTTTGCAGGATAGAGCACGACGACTTTGCTGAAACGTGTGCGTCTTGCCGCGAAGATGCTTCAGTGGACAGCTGACCACTCCGTTCACATGTTTCCCTTGAAATTGGGCAATAATGTTTCGTTCATGCGGAGTCTTGAGGGTGATGGTGCGCGTGCTCAGTGCGGTGAAACTGTAGTCCTCGTCCACGCGTTGGGTGTGTATGCTGACCCGGGCATCCAGAAACACCCGGCAAGTACAGTGTTTCCTTCGCGGGTCTCGTATGACTGGAGGTGACGTCAAGCAACCCAGGGTATTCCAGAAGTGCAAGGCTCTGAAGGATTTGCCGATACAGGGCTGGAGTCATTCTGTTTCAGATATGTAGGCGCTCACGGGCTTGCGCTATAAGAAACATTCAGCGCTCCGAGACAGGCCAAGACCCTACGTAGACCATAAGAATGCCAAGAGAGGTCGAGGACTTGGGCGGAGTCTTTTGCTCGTAGCTCCCATCCCACGGCTTCGAGACACCCCCTGATCCTGAGGCTTGAACTTAGTGAGCATGTCCAAGTCGTCCGCGAGAGAGAGACAGAGAGAGAGAGAGCATGTCCAAGCTTTTTGTTGGGCCTATCAACGAGTCACAGGGGCGCGTTGTTGTCCGGAGCAGACCTGGTTTGGGGAAGCAATCAGTGCTGATGAGACAGCAATCTGGTTAAATGGAGTGTTTAGCCGGGCCGTTGGACATCCCTCAAGGCCACGAGCCGGCTACGGCGACACGAGTTGTTCGATTCTTGGACATCACAGCACAGAGAAGAAAGGTCACTGTACTGCGCGCAAGCTCAACCTTTGCGTGAGTTGCAGGCGGAGTGCAGTAGCCTGATCAAAAGCAGGTTGTTCTGCCCTGATTCAACCCGGAGGTAGGATGTTCAACGCCGATGGCCAAGCTTTCCAAACACTCGAGGTCGAGGGGAGTTTTTTGGGGCGTCGATGCTATCGTCGTTTGAGTCGTTCCTTCGAGTGGACTCCGATTCGAGTACCATCGGACTCCGCTGGGTCGTCTGACGAGGATGTAGGGAGCCATGAAGAATAAGCGTCCTTGACTCTGCGCTGAGATTGAGCTCGATGTTCCCCAGGATCCCAATTTAAATGCACTTCACACCCGCGCGCGAGGTTCCACTAAATCGGTTCGATGTGGTCGGCAGGTGGATGGAATGCTCAGACAAGGCTGTTCAGAGTCAATCGTCACGACGTGTTTGAACTCGAGTGGGGGAATGCGTTTCTTGGCTGGCTGCGAAGCTGATGCTACCTGTGCTTGGCGATGCAAGGGTGCCTGTTTTTGACTTAGACATGTTGGTGACCCTACGGCGCTACAATCAAACAAGCACTTGACGACTGCAGAGGCCCAGGCACGACACGAGTCGATTGTGTACGTCGTGCCCATGTTTTTATTGTAATGCTCGTGTTGTTGATGACAGGGTCCTGCCCCACAACAGCGGATCCCAAGCTGTTGCAAGGTTGGCATGGTGTGAACTATCTTCGTGAGTCTGGGATACCCAGATCCCCACATGCACATGTGAAACGTGGTTTCAAGCTTGCTCAAGCAAAGAGTGTGGCGCGCTCAGTGTGAAGTCTTCCACATGAAGGGGTGCCCCGGATTGTCACAAGAGTAGAAATGCCCGTGGGCCAACAGATAGAAAAGAATCGGCACGCAAAGCCAAACAAAACATTGCACAAATGTTCGCGTGAAGCCAATGTTACACTTAGATTGGGGAGTCCATCAGGATGCTCTTGGCTTCGGAGCTTTCCACAGACGTATGGGAGGTGACACATGCACATGTGCACACAACGGCGACGGACTTTCAAGCATCTGAACGACAAGCTCACACGCCTGAGGGTCACATTACTGGGGCAATCAAGCATCGGCCTACAACCGTGTCAACTCCAATACTCAGCCCTGCGCACCTTTACGCCTTTACGCGCAAGTCAAATGGCCCGAACTCCGCAAAAATTTCGATTGATACACCCGCAATGTCATGGCTCGCTTGAAGAAGACCTGCAAGTCCTCAACCAACTCACATCCGCCCCCAACTTGGAAGCATGATTGATTAACGAGTGTGGCTTTTGACGATCGGGCTGGCGCAAAGGTGTACTCCCGGGTGCGACAGCCGGCCGGAGCCGCACTACAGCCCTCCTCTGTGTGAATTCCCAACAGCTCGGAACCCCCTGTTTAGTCCGAGACCACTTATTTCCGAGGGGCAGCGGCATTGAGTTTGGAACGTCTTGGGCTTGCCCTTTCCCTTCCTGCTGCCTTGGCGGCGAATCGTTGGATCTGAGCCGCCCTCACCATCCTGGCTCCGTTTCCCTGATTGTGATCCCTGACCTCAGCACGCATCCCATTTGGAGGTCTCCCGGCCAAACCAAACCAAGCAGCCCTATCCGCCTCCCTCCAACACTTGGTGGAATGTAACCTGCTGATAGCAGGCGGCCTGTCCGAGGTCAACTGTGACATGAGTGCTGTAGCAGCACAACCCGACAAGATCCATGACAATGGGGTAGTGAGCCGACACTGAAGGTCTGTTGGCGTATCACCGGGTTGGCCGGCTGCAAAGGCAACACAGGAAAGAGCACTGATGTTCTTCCCGACTAGGATGGCCCTGATCGTAGCTGGAAGCCCGACAGTGTCACACCGCTCAAGGAAAACAGCCTTGTTGGGACTCTGATGCCTAAAGCCCACTAAAATCCTACGACGCTACGCTCGACTTCTAAGAGAGTCAGTTCGCTCCACAGGGTCTAACGGTC